GTAGTAGTAGTAGTAGTAGTATTCGTATATGCAGAGTAATATTGATATCAACACTACTACTATTACTAAGTACTACGACCACGAACCATTATTATAATTACGACCACCGATACAGCTACTGAGTATTCGTATCAAGTAGTACCACTAAGCGTTACTCGTACTACTGCTACTACTAAGTCGTACTACAACTAAATACGACTAGTACTAAGGAGCGGTATCCCGAAGTACTAATAAATATTATCGTTCTAATAGTAATGACAATTACCAGTGCTACTACTACTAGATAATGGTAGTTGTTATTGAACTCAGTCAGACTAATTATATACAAACGATTATCAGGAAACATAGTTTTCGTACCGACACGCATATCGTTATTGTTACCACATCACTACTTCTATCACCGAAACTGTTGAAAATCGTACTAACGCATTCATTAATCCAAAGACAAAGGGACGATTGTATTAAAGAACAAACCAAACTGCACCAGATAGCGCGCCGGTATCTGGTGCACCCGCTCTGCGTGAAATATAACTCACAACAGTGATATGTTCCTGCGAAAAACATATAGTTTTTGAAGATCTGGCGAGCAAGTTGTAAACCGACTCTGTCATTTCAGAGACGAAGTGATGGTTCTCTTAAAAGGAAATAACACGTGAAGTCTCTGGCGACCAAATCGTTCTAACTCAAATGTATTGCGCGCTACTTGCCGCTCGGTGCCGAAACGCCAGATGCACGCATATTGTTTTTGTCACCACAGTACTATTTCTATCACCGAAACTGTTGAAAATCGTACTAATGCACTTATTAATCTAAAGGCAAATGGACGATTGTATTAAAGAACAAACCGAACTGCACCAGATAGCGCGCCGGTATCTGGTGCACCCGCTCTGCGCGAAATATAATTCACCACAGTGATGTGTTCGTGCGAAAAGCATATTGTTTTTGAAGGTCTGGCGAGCAAGTTGTAAACCGACTCTGTCATTTCAGACAGGAAATGATGTTTCTCTTAAAAGGGAATAGCACATGAACTCGCTGGCGTCCAAATTTTCTAGCTCAAGTGAATTGCGCGCTGCTTGCCGCTCGCTGCTGAAACGCCAGATACACGCATATTGTTATTGTTACCACAGTACTACTTCTATCACCGAAACTGTTGAAAAGTCGTACTAATGCATTTATTAATCCAAAGACAAAGGGACGATTGTATTAAAGAACAAACCGAACTGGATCAGATAGCGCGCCGGTATCTGGTGCACCCGCTCTGCGTGAAATATAACTCACAACAGTATTATGTTCCTGCGAAAAGCATATTGTTTTTGAAGATCTGGCGAGCAAGTTGTAAACTGACTCAGTCATTTCATAGACGAAGAGATGTTTCTCTTAATGTATTGCATATATAGCTGCTGCAGAAAGGTTCAAGATTTGGCCGTTTCTCTCCAGAGTAAAATGCACACCCAAGGTAACGAGTACTATTGTTATTAATATATTTCGTATGTAGCTTATATGCGTTGATTAATTGATCAATGTTACTTTGTTACGATGCCATTGCGCCCACAGCTGCAAAGACGTGGCTCGAGTCTCGAAATCTTTGATTTCATACGTTCATACGCAATGGCGTATGAATTTGCTTACCTGGAGGGAGGCGCCGTTATCGGCCCTCTTCCCACCTTGCCCCCCAGCGCCGCGTGGAGCAAGTTGGGGATGCGCCAGCAAGATCGCTTGAACAACGGCGAGGATTCGGGAACTTTGAAAGCCGCATACTATACATGTAACATTTGCTTTGGCCCCGTAAACAAAAATGACCGACCTCCACAACGCAATTGCGATTGCATTCGCGATGGGAGGGAAACTGGAACGACGTTTCGATCATTGTTTCAGCCTCCTTGCATCGGTCCCGAGGACGCGATCTGGATCCCATACAACTTCCAGTGCGGCTGGAAGAAGTGGACCTTCCAACGCCGCGAAGGCAATCTGGAAATGCCATAATTCCACCTGCGCCGATTTGTGCCATGCCCGACTTGAGAAAACAAGACGTTGCGTTCGCGCCTTTGTGGCCTGGCCAGAGAGGTGCTTTAGCGCTTCCAGAACTCAAGACGGGCTTGGCCAGAGTCGGCGCAAGGGTAGAGCTGGCGCTTCCATAGGGCAGATCATGTACTACAAGCCCGCAGACGTCGAGCTCGAGTGGATAGCGGTGCGTCTTCTTCATCCGATTCAGGCGGCAATCACCCTGGTCAACTTTCACCAGCCGTCGCACACTCTCGCCGTGCACGTGACAGTTGAACACTCGCCCGAGTTGTCGCAGCTCCTCGGCACATACGTCGCCGCATATTCGACTACGATGAAGACCATCAAAGCGTACGTGCTGGACCAGCTCGCCTTACCAAATCATCACACCGTGGTGTTGAAGGTGGGCCAGCAGCAAGTGAGCGGCCGGCAGCAGGTGGCCCCCTGCTTCGGCCTCAGCCGGAAGCGCCCGCGCTGAGTCCCGAGGGCACGCCCGCTCGACCCCATATAGATTGGTTTATCATTTTGCCCGCCGACCAGATACCGGGCTGCCTTCCAGGCTAGATTTGCTTCCGACATTTTCTATTTCGCATCCCTAGTGCTATCTCCAAGTGTTCCACGGCAAAAAATGTTATCTCATCCGTTTCAAAAACACTTACGCATTTACATTCCAATGTAAACATATACACAACGTGCGTCCCCCGCGCACCCACTCGCAACAAAGCTTGGGAAACATGTCAGAGATCAGCTGGCAGGGTGGCGTGGCGGGCCGCGGGCAATTCGCCCAAGCAGCGCCCACACAAGCCAGAATAAGTCACCTCCCGCCCGCCCGCCCGCGATGGCGCTCGCTCTTGGCAGCGCCGAGGTGGCGGCCCTCTTCAATGCCGGCCTCGTCGCGCGCCAGACTCTCTTGTCCGCTGCGTGGAGGTTGGGGGAGATGGGGATGCTCGCCGAGGAAGATGACCTCAATTGGATGACCTCCGGCGTCGATGCGGGCTCCGCGGCGACGGTTGCAGCGCCGGCCAAGGCGCCGCCGCCGGCCGCGCCGGCCAAGGCGTCGCCGCCGGCCGTGCCCCCGAGTCCGCCACCGGCCAAGGCAGCGCCGCGGCGGCCAGGGGACCCATGGATGGATCGAGGCGCTGCTATGGAAGAACACCACCATCATCACCATCACCACAGCCACCCGACCACCGTCATCTCATCTGATGTCGAGTCGGTGCGGGGCTCCCGCTGGGCGCACTACGCGTGCCTCGACCACGCGCGCGTGCTCCCGGGCCTGATGTTCCGTCGCCACTGCTCAGAGTAGGGGCCGATGCGCCTTGCGGATCTCAAATGCTTCGTCGAGGTCTGCAAGGCTGTTCGCCCTCCAACTCACGGCAGTGGCAGCTGGATATCTATCCCCCAGGTATTGGATGGCTGGGAAACGTACTACCTGGACAACACTTTTACCACGCTGTTCTTCTATCACAACCCGACCGGCGCGAGCCAGTGGCACCCGCCGAGCGACGACGTCAGTGCGACGGGTGGCACCTGAGCGCTTGAGCATCTGTTTGATTTGATTGCTGATAGTGGCGATGCTACTTTTCCTGTTTTACTAACATGCTTTGGGCCCGCCCCCCGCCGCCTGGCCCCCGCGCCGCCGCTTCCGCTTGTATATCTATCCGACTGTTTTCGGAGACTCTCAGAGTTTATTTGTTCGCTTTGTCTTATCTTGAGAAACGACGCCGCGCTTGCTCGTCTGATATGTTGCATCAGTACATGCATTAGCTCCTTCCCGCTATCTCTCTCGCCTTCTCTCTCTCTCTCTGTCTCTCTACCTTGCATGTGCTCATTGTTTCTTCATATCGTCCTCCCTCTCTCTCACTCTGCTAACTGAGCTGCCATGAGAAGATCGCTCATCTTGCTTTCTGTGCATCTTGGAACGGGCTAATGTTCACGAAGGGGCGTTGGCTTCTGACCGCGATCGATCAGGGCAACGTTGCGGTCGATTGCTTCGAGCAGCGGCCCCCTTAGAAAAAAAAAAAAACAGACAAGGAGCTCTTGCCCACTGCAGTTTTCGGAGGGCCATCAACCTGGCAGTGGGCAAGGGCGTTTCGGCCTGCGTGCGCCTCACTGAACGTTCTCCAGACCTGACATCTGGCCGCGGCGATGAGTTTGCGCGGCCACAGGAAGAAATGCCAACTCGAGAAATAAATCTAGAGGTCCAGCCCGCAATACCCAGGAACGCCAGCTTTTGCCCCCCACCGCCTACAGCTTTTTGATAGTCAGAAACCTGGTAGTGGGCAAGAGCCTTTTCCGATAGCCCATATTTTCATGAACTAGCGATAGCTTCTGCGTGCGATCGATCAGGGCGACGTTGCAGCCAATTCTCTCGAGTAGCTATCAGAGCGAAGCCCAGGAGCTTCTGCCCGCGATTGGTCAGAGCGACGTTGCAGCCGATAGCATTGAGCAGATGTCAGAACGAAGGCCCGAGGAACGCATTTCCGATCTCGACTCGTCCGTCTCTCTATCTCTCTCTCTTTCTCTGTGCCAACCGAGCTCCCATGGGTGTCCGATCGCCCATCTCGACGTCGGCGTGTCTTGGAGGAATTATCTACGAAAGTGCGATAGCTTTTGCCTGCGATTGATCGCGGCGGCGTTCCAGCCGATTGCTTTGAACAGCTGTCAGAGCGAAGCCCAGGAGAGCCCATCCCCGATCTCGACTCTCTCTCTTTCTCTCTCACTCTTTCTCTTTGTCAACCCAGCTCCCAGGGAGCCGATCGCCCATCTTGAATTCTGCGTGTCTCGGAATGAAGTACATGTATATGAAAGAGCGATAGCTTCTGCCTGCGATTGATAGGAGCGACGTTGCAGCCGATTGCTCGAGCAGCTTTCAAAGCGAAGCCCAGGAGAGCTCATCTCCAATCTCGACTCGAGGGTCCTGCGCCCTCCTTCATATTTCCGACTCGAGGGCACGGCGCCTCTTACAAACTGATTCGTTGCTGTTACTCAGCATCCCAATGGCGTCGTCGTTGCAGCTGGATCTCAGCAGCGAGGAGGTTTTGGCGCTCGTCGAGGCGGGCGTCATTTCAGGCCAAACAATCCACGACGCCTATCGTGCAGAAGCAGCATCGGCCGGATGGCCTCGCAGCGACTTGCCTGAGATTGACGTCTTGGAGTCTTTGGTGGCGAAGGGCGTCCTGACGAACGAGGGCGTCCTTGACTGGATGCAGTCGGGCGTGGTGACGGCGCAGACAGGACCCGCTGGCGGGCGTTCGTCGAAGCCTCGCCGCCGCCCGACTGATCCGAAGGACAAGGCGCCTTGGTACATGCGCGGCTTGAATGCCCCCATCTTCGTGAAGACAGACCTCCAGCCGGAGCTGGCGTTGCTTTCGCGCCAGGGCAACTGCGTCGCGCACGGCATCGGCCACGTGATCGGCAAGGCGCTGGATGCCGTAGCATATGCGAAGATCTTCCCTGCCGCCGCTTCGCGTGGCCGCAAATACGTGGACGTCGCCGCTGCGCTGGGCGTTGGTTTGCAGGAGGCGCCTGGGCGGGCTTGCGTCGTCGGCGCGTCGGAGAGCGGGCAGGCGCGCTCGATCGGTTCGCGGGGGACTGCCAGTCGCGGCCCCCCGTCGGGCCGCGCAAAATGATTCCCTCGAATCTGTCGGGCGCGCGGCCCGCTTCGCCGTTGCCGCCGCTGACGCCGAGCTCTCGCAAGGTGAGCGACCTTTCTCTCCCTGGCGCCTACCTATGTCATCAGTCTGGCAAGAGAGTGGGGCATTGCACGGGAGTTCGCGTACATGATCGCTACGTTACCATTTGGGAGAATAAGTACAAGTTTGAAACCACGTCCAAGGTATCGGCGCCGCCAAACATGTTGATTTTCAAAGTCATCATCGCTGACAAGGGAGCGCATGGCCATTGCCTGGGCCGTCGTCTGCGCGGTCTCAGGGCCGGCACGTCTCGCGGGGGGGCTCCGCACTTATCGCAGTATTCCAGAGATTTGGGGGCGGTCATAGAGGACTCGGTGATCCCTGAAACACAGGCTGCAGAATTCGAGGTGCCAACGCAACCGGGCGACCCCCCGACGGTTGGCGCCGAGGACACGATGGCGGCCGAGATATCTGAGGGAGCTCCTCGAGACGCCGCCATGGTCGCGGCCTTGGCGAAGCGGATGCGCATCGCGGGGGCCGCCACTTCCCGGGAGACGTTCAAGTCGATGTGGTCCGACGTGACGGAGAAGTCCTCGAAGCTCGCGAACTCGTCGGCCGCCGACCCGCCTCAGTTTCACGGAGTGGTGGCTGCTACGGAGAGGCTTGCCGATATCGTTAACAAAAACCACGAGGAGTGGAACGACGATGTCAAAAGGCTTGGGATGGCAGCTCTAATGCTGTATCGGAGCAGGCAATCTGATGTCAGCCTCCTTCAGCACGTTCAGCTTCTCTGGGTGCTTCTGGGCGGGCGCGAGCTGCGGGCGCACTCAGGTCGTGCTTATTTTTACGATCATTCCCTTGGACATTTCGAGGGCTTCGACGGTCTCATGCCGCCGACCGTGCTAGCTGCCGCTGGCAATGCCATGCTGACCTTGGAAGGGTTGTTCAGGTCCTTCAAGGCGCCTGTCGCGCGCAAGGACGCGGACGTACTGAATGCGATCGATTCGTCCATCAAGGAGGCCTTGGCGCAGAACAACAACGACTTGCCGAGTGCAATGTTGACTTTCCATGACAACTGCATGTTCAACAAAGGCAATAACTTGTTGAAAGCAGGGGGCGCCGCGCCTGGCAGGCAGAGCGAACCGGGCGGCGACGGCGAGGATGCAGAGGGCGCCCTTGCAGCCCCTGCACCGGACACGAGCAATTCGGCTGACAGCTGGTTCGTGCTAACGGCTCAGACCATATCCAAAGTGTCAACTAAGCTTCAGTATGAGTTGTTGGGAAACAAGTTGGTTCCTTATTTCATTGAGTGGTGTTTAACTGACATGCAGCGGGTTCCAGGATGCGCGTGCGCTGACTGCTGCGTGTTGTACGATCGCAGCGCTTTCGAGAACGTTTGCTTGTTGTCGTCTCGTTCACCAGAGAACAACATATATCTCGGCATCCCGACACCTCTGCTGGACCCGGTGCTCGGCGCCGCCATGGAGCGCGTTCAGCGCGTGTATGAGCAAACTTTTTGGTCTATACCGAATCGTTCGTCTTCGGCCAGGCAGCGCAGGCATTGGCCAAGCGCGGTCAAAACATCGACCAAATAACTGTGTATTGGGGGCCGGGCGGCGTCGGCCTATCCCTCTACACTTCGCACTTGCACGCGATGTACGGCGATGAGAACCACAAGTTCTTCGATCCGAATATACTTTTCCAGGGCGAGGAGATGCGGAAGGTGGTGGAACTCTTGGTCGGCGGCTGCATCTTCACCGGCCAGGGGCGGCCCTCGGGGCAGAGGAGTAGCATGCGCCAGGACTTACTCAAGAAGTTCGCCACGGCCGACACCATCGCGGGGAGACTGCCGTACTCCATCTTGACGAAGATGTACAGGATCATCGGGTGGAAGCGCATGGAGGTAAACCAGTTCTTCACTTTCGACAACGTCAACGAGCACAACCTGGAGTCTATTGTGCGCCGCATCGCCATCATCAAGATACAGTCGCGGTTCTTTGACAAGCTCTACGTTGATAAGATTATTCTCACCGACCCGAGCAGATACGGCATCTTCGCGCGCGATCCCGACGCCAGGGACTTCATGATTAGCGGGGCCGCAGTTGCGGCAGGCCATAAGATTCAGTACGCGTTCGAGGTGGAGAACGGGCCCGAGGCGTGCAGAGACATTTTGGTGAACTACACGAAGTGCGGCGGTGACCATGGAGTAACCGAGACATACGTCAGGATCGCTTGTCATATCAAGGCGGACAACGCTGCGGAATCAGCGGCGAGCGCTGTCGCCGAGGGCTTGGTTGACCCGCCGTCCCAGGACGGCCATTTGCCGAGTTCGCCGATACTCCTTCTCAGCAACCATTTGGTGAAGGAGCTGCAGCGGAAAGGATTGAACTACTTGACTTACAGCGTGTTCCGAGCGTCTGCAACACCTCCCGGCGCTAGGCTGAAGGGTAACAAAGAAGAACAATGGGAGTCGTTGAAAGGCAGCGACTTGTGGATCGACGTCGGTTCCAAGGGCAAGGCGGAAGATCGTCTGATTCCGCGCGTCAAGACTCAGAGAGACGCTTCGATTCTTTGTTCACGGCGGCCGCCATGCTGCGATGCGATATACCCGGAGCATTGCGACGCATCGGCGCTGGAGGCGGCGCGGTGTACATCCAGATTGGCCAACGAGAAGACTTTGGCAGGCGCGTTTAACGCGCTCGCATCGGCGATTGCTCCTGCGCGGGGGCGGCCAGCGAAGGGCGTCCTCGAGAGGATCGAGAGTTTGGATGAGAGGGCACAGAAGATTTTGTCAATGACAGAGACGTCGCAGCGGCTGCTTGACCGGAGTAAGAGGTCGGCCGACCTCGAGGTTAAGAGAAGGAAGTTGGCCTCGAAGCAGCCGAGCGTTGAGAAGTCTCCAACCCGCCATACTGGAAGGAAAGAAACAGTCCCGCTTGACAGCTTCAAGAGCTACAGGCGCGCAGTGGAGTGGCCGTCTCGGCAGTACGTCAACGAGGAGCTCTCGGCGCAGGCCATGGACCAACGATTACAGCACGTGTTTTTTTCGAGCACTTTCGATTTGGATTTCGTGAACTGCGTTTTTTGTTTATTGGCGCAGATCATTGAAAAGTTGGGGATCATTGGCGCTCAGCTGTTCGCGGACGAGATTGCTGCGCTACAGCGCGTTCACGCAGATCGAGAGGGCGTCTGCAGGTTGGAGTCTGAAAGCCGTCCGCGCTTCCTCGCTCGTCTCGATGCGGTTTCCTTGGCCTGGTGCGGCTTGGGGAAATAGGTCCAGGGGCGTTTTAGTCCGCTGTGGGGTGGGGATGAGGCGGAGGGAGAGGGTCCATGGGGCAGGTGCTTTGGCGAGCGAAGAAGCTTGGGCGAGCTTTCCTCTGGCTCCTGATAGGGGCGTCTTCAAAATGTTGCCGTTCAAGGGCAAGCGAGTCTTGATCAAGCTGATATGCGGCGGCGCTTTGCCGAAGGAATTGTCCGAGAACGAGTTCGCCAAGATGCTGGTGAGAACAGCGCGTTTCCTGCGTTGGCTAGCCGTGGGGCTGTGCCCGGAGCAGTTCAAGCTCCTAGAGTCCGCGCAGGACAAGTGGTCAGAGGCATCGTTGGCCAGCTACATGTGGCAAGGCGTTGAGGATTATTGTTTGGAGCAGTGGGTCGACTTTGTCATGGAAGAGAAAGTCAGTCACGTATCTTTGCATTTCGACGGCCTGCGCGTCGACAAGGGGCGCGTCCTTTTGAGCCAGGCGGGCGGCGATGCGCAGGCCACGGCAGTTTCGGACGCAGAGAAGGTCAAATCCTCTTGCAAGAAATCTGAGGAACGGATTCTTGCCACTACGGGTTATTCCGTAAGCATCAGGAACAAGGAGAGATATTATTTTATTGATCTTCTCCGTTCTCCGTGCGAGCGCATTTGACGTTGAGCCTGCAGATGCGCCGAGCGACGTCGAGGCGCTGTTCTCTGCCGGCAATGGCATCTTCTGCGCAATGGCTGCGCTCGCGGGCAACTGGTCGGATATGTCGACGAAGGCCGCTGCCGCCGCAACGCCTCCCAGCGCAGCGGCGGCCTCGGCGGCCTCGTCGCCGCTGATCTGGGCGCCGCCTCGGCGCTCGTATCGGACATGTGCGAGAGCGGCCAATGTGAAGCTGTTGCCCGTGGAAGTGGCACAGGAAAGTTGTCCTGGGCTATTCCTAGTGCACTGCGAGCCAGACGTTGCGCCGCTTTGCGTCGGCATCGACGTGAAACAGCGTGGGCCGCACAAGTGCTACGTCGGCAGGGAGCGCTGGAGTCTGCCGGCCGGGGCGCTGGACGAGGCGGTGTTGGCGGCTCTCGATCGGTGTATGGTAGTGGCATTTCAGATGAAGCCCGCCGATCGAGATGACGAAGATCATCGAGATAGTTCTTTGGATGGCGCATTGGATTTATTTGCGGGCGCCGGCATCGAGGACAATGTCGCCGCCGTCTGCCGCGCGCGCAGACGCCGCTCGCTCGCGGCGCGCGTCGCCGCAGGTAGCCCGAGCTCAGACCGCTCTCTGTCGCCGCCCTCGCCGGCCAGCCCAGCTGCGCAGCGGGGGGCGGCAGCTCTTCGCGAGCTCGGTTGTTCAATTCGCGGCATCGTGCCTTTTGACGACGTCTGACGTGGCACGGCAACTGCATCCCGTTCGGCATTGCGGCGCTCACTGGCGATTGGGATGGCGTCATCGCAGCTGCGACTGTGGATTCGGACGAGAACGCAGCAGCTATGGCGAGCGGCCTTCGTCGATATAGTGACTGCGCCAATCTCTTTGGCGTTTCATTGCGGCCAGTGCCGACGACGGCGGTGGAGACACTTGGCCGATTTCTTGTTCACGGAAAAGTTGCAGGCAGAGAACATTGCGCAGCTGTCGAAGTATTCGAGCACGGCGGCAGCATCTTACACTCAGAAGGGTTATCTTGGGACGTACCTCGAGGTTGTCTCGACGCTTGCTTGCGGATTATCCTCGACTTCGGCGTCGAGGCGGCGTTCGCTCTCGGCGGCGGGCATTCGTCGACCCTTGGCGATGACGTCGCTGCACGCGACGCCATGGACATGGTGGCCGGAGCCGGCGTCGAGGAGGAGGGGGCCGTTGACGTCGCGAACGCCGACGACGAGCACGCCGAGGAATTGGATGGCGATTCATGCGTGCGCGTGCATGCGAATCTCTTGCAGCTACTACGTGACGAGGTTACTGACTTCGAGATGATCGTGAAGTCGCTCTCTCGCACAGGCGCCACGAAGGACGGGAATGGGAGCCGTTCAAGGTGCTTGCTTTGCCCATTCAAAGAGTATTATACTTCGTCTGTAAACGTTAAGAGGGATCTCCTTGCGCATATCGCGAATCACCACGGCTTGCACAGAAAATGCGAGAATGGTAGAGATCGTAAGATGGGATCAGGTCGGTACGTTGCTTCAGGCACTATGCAGTGGAAAGTCATCCAGGCGTTGTTTGACGACGACATGTTATGAAAGCATCAACCGAAGAACTTGCTGCAGCGCAGTGCCGATCTCATGCGGCGGTCGGTGAGCCCGCCGTTGCGGTGTCTTGGTGTTGACAAGCAGATTCGGCTGCTCCTTGACCACGACGGGCCCCGGTTTGTCAACTTCGAGGTTCTCGCGAGAGATGGCGCGCTCCAAGCCAGGCTCGGGCTGGAAGAAAGAGCAGGATGCGGAAAGGGGGGGGGGGTGCGACATCTGTTTCGCGCAGCTGGTTTCGGCTCCGCCCGTTGAGCCCGTTCTTCGACGCGCGGGCGCCTCCCGGCGTTGCGGGGCGCCGGGGACAGTAGCTGCGTGAGCTGATTGCGCGCCCTGCCCTTTGCCATCCTACTCTTTCGTCGGCTTCGACAGGCGCGTGGGAAACACGTACTACACGAAGGAGTTCGCCGAGCTCGTCTTCCGCGAATCCATCTTGCACGAAGGTCGAGTGCGCCCGATGAGGGCGAGGATTGTGACGCGCTTTAAGGAAGCCGGCAGTTGCGTCACGCACCTTCTACCAGGAAAGGTCGTTCAGTGGTTGTCGTTGATGGAGGACGTATTCTCGTCTCCGTTCGTAGAGGAATTGCGAACCAATCTCATGGGCGAGTTGGTTGATAATACAGAGTTTGAGCACGTTTCGTTGGATGCAACTCTGCGCACTGCCATGCGCGTGAAAGGCCAGGCGAACTACAGGGAACCGGCAGAGATTCGAGCGGCGGCGCCGTTTCCAGACGGCGTTGCCAAGAGGCGCATTTGGACTGCCAAAGGTCGCACGTCAGCCGCCATTGGCATGTGGCCCGTGGCCAGCGAAGCGGCATCCGTCGTGAAGGCGGCTCTTCGAAATCACTTGCCCGAGCGAGCTCTCCAGCAGTGCGTCTCAGTGGCATCAGATGATCCGTCGGCGACATTGTTTGCAGAGCTCAAGCAAATCATGCCTCAGCTCAAGTTTTTGTGCCTAGATCTTGTTCATCTCGCAATTGTGTATAATCAGGCGCACTGGCGGAAACATTCTCCGGGCCAGGCAGTTTTGCGAATCATTTTGAATAAATTCAATGAAGTGAGCTCAGATTTAAATGGCGCCGCGTGGGGCGCCCCTTACACGGGCCACCAGGCTAGCTCGCTGTCTGCCGCCGAGGGCCGCGCGCAGTCGTTGATGGCCGGCGGCGGCATGCAGAAGCGCCGAGCGCACAAGATCATTGCAGATCTCGACGCCAATGAGCCATTCGTGAGAAAACTTGAGTTCATCGAGGCATTGGCGGCATTGACGTCCGTCTACTGAGAAGAAGTGGACAGGCGCACCCCCGCCGCGCCAAGCAAGAAGCTGGCTGATGTAATAGCGAATGCCGCGCAGCACAGTCGGTGCGACCATCTTTTTAATTTTTCGCGCATGCGGCACTCGCTGCCGGCTCGCGCGCTGCCATTGCTCGGTTCGGGCACGAGCCCAAACGAAGCGCTGCATAGCGAGATCAACAGGTGGTTTAAGAACCAGCCGGAGTTGTACGCGCAGACTTTAGAGCTCCAGCTCGGCGTCAACGTAATCGGCAAGCAAATGATGCATAATTCAGCTATGCACGCCCCCACTCTGCGCCAGCTGTCTTCGCAAACTGTCGCAGCTAGCGTGGTCTGCTCGTTTGCGATATCCGCCGCCGAGCGGGCAAATCATTGCGCTTCTCAGGCGCAGGAGCAGAGGGCGCCGCGGAAAGCGCAGCTTCCGCTGGCGCTGCAGCGCAAAGCCGCTGAGCCCCTGGCGAACAAGTGGAAGGTGGATCACAAGCGCATGGTTGTTGCGCGCAAGCCAGCAGGGCAACAACAATTCATTCGCACCCTGAAGCGGCCGGGCGCAGCCAAGCAGCGCAAGCGCACGCCCTTCTCTCTTGTTCGGAAGCGCAGCTAGGGCGGACGGCTTTTCCCTTGATGAATGCTAGTGGTTGCGTTTATGTTTGAGGCTCAACTACGTGCTGCCTTGTCACTGCCTCGACGCGCGGCATTTGCGCTGCCATGCGAAAAAGAGTACTAAACATCGGGAGTTGCGAAGGCTTCGCCTCTATTACCGGAGCCCGATTAAAACAAATTGAACTATTTAATTTCCCAGAGCAAAGTTTTCAATCCTTTAAATCAGTACCGTTTCGACGAGAGACGAACCTCATTTATTTTATTAATCATTTTTTTTATTAAAAAATAAATAAATAATTAAAACGCGTTTAGTAAGTTAATCAATTTAATTATTAAAATCGTAACGTTTCGCTTCTATTACAGGAGCCCCGATTTAAATAATTTAAATAATTTAAACCACCCGGGCAATAAATTATTTAATTTATTGAAATCAGCGTCCGTTCGTCGAGAGACGAACTTCAGTTATTTTATTAATTAAATTATTTAAACTATTCAAATTTTTAAATTATTCAAATATTTCATAATTTAAATAGTTTAAAACATTTAAGTAATTTAATTCATAAAATCGTAACGTTTCGCTTGTATTACAAGAGCCCCGATTTAAATAATTTAAATATTTCAAATTACCCGGGCAATAAATTATTTAATATACTGAAATCAGCGTCCTTTCGAAGAAAGACGAGTTTCAGTTATTTTATTAATAAAATTATTTAAATTATTTAAATTATTTAAATTATTTAAATATTTCATAATTTAAAAAAGTTTAAATACTTTAACTAATTTAATTAATAAAATCGTAACGTTTCGCTTCGATTACAGGAGCCCATACTTAAATAATTGAAATAATTTAAACCACCCGGGCAATAAAATATATAATTTATTGAAATCAGCGTCCTTTCGAAGAAAGACGAGTTTCCAGCTAATTTATTAATTCAATTATTTAAATTATTTAAATTATTTAAATTATTAAATATTTAAATAATATAAATAACTAAAATATTTTAAATAATTTAATTAATAAAATCGTAACGTTTCGCTTCGATTACAGGGGCCCCGATTTAAATAATTTAAATAATTTAAACCACCCGGGCAATAAAATATTTAATTTATTGAAATCAGCGTCCTTTCGAAGAAAGACGAGTTTCAGCTAATTTATAAATTAAACTATTTAAATTATTTAAATTATTTACATTATTTAAATATTTAATAATTTAAAAAGTTTAAATAGTTAATAGTTTGATTAATAAATTCGTAACGTTTCGCTTCGATTACAGGAACCCCGATTTAAATAATTTAAATGATTTAAACCACCCGGGCAATAAAATATTTAATTTATTGAAATCAGCGTCCTTTCGAAGAAAGACGAGTTCCAGCTTTTTTTTTTTTTTTTTTTTTTTTTTTTTTTATATATATATAAAAAAAAAGCAAAAAAACTGTAAGTTATAAATTATTCATCTTTTCAAAATGACGATCATTTGTGACTAGTTTGTCCCTCAATCATATATATACACATACATACATACATATGCACATATATATAAATATATGATTGAGGGACAAACTAGTCACATATGATCGACATTTTGAAAAGATAAATAATTTATTGCTTGCATAATTTTTTCAAAAAAAATATTATTAATCCTGGCCTTTGTAAATAAAAGCGATTCCATATTATTTTATTGATTAAATTGTTTAAACTATTCAAACTTACTATTAAATATTTAAATAATTTAAATAATTTTTAAAAATTTAATTAATTAATTAGCTGAAACTCGTCTTTCTTCGAAAAGACGCTGATTTCAATAAATTATATATTTTATTGCCCGGGTGGTTTAAATTATTTAAATTATTTAAATCGGGGCTCCTGTAATCGAAGCGAAACGTTACGAATTTATTAATTAAACTATTTAAACTATTCAAACTTTTTCAATTATTAAATATTTAAATAATTTAAATAATTTAAGTAATTTAAATAATTTAATTAATTAATTAGCTGAAACTCGTCTTTCTTCGAAAAGACGCTGATTTCAATAAATTAAATATTTTATTGCCCGGGTGGTTTAAATTATTTAAATTATTTAAATCGGGGCTCCTGTAATCGAAGCGAAACGTTACGATTTTATTTTTTAAAATATTTAAATTATTTAAATTATTTATATTATTTAAATATTTAATAATTTAAATAATTTAAATCATTTAAATAATTTAATTAATTTAATTAATAAATTAGCTGGAAACTCGTCTTTCTTCGAAAGGACGCTGATTTCAATAAATTATATATTTTATTGCCCAGGTGGTTTAAAATATTTAAATTATTTAAATCGGGGCCCCTGTAATCGAAGCGAAACGTTACGATATTATTAATTAAATTATTTAAACTATTTAAACTTTTTGGGTGGTTTGAAATATTTAAATTATTTAAATCGGGGCTCTTGTAATGCAAGCGAAACGTTACGATTATGAATTAAATTACTTAAATGCTTTAAACTATTTAATTATGAAATATTTGAATCATTTAAAAAATTTAAATAGTTTAAATAATTTAATTAATAAAATAACTGAAGTTCGTCTCTCGACGAAAGGACGCTGCTTTCAATAAATTAAATAATTTATTGCCTGGGTGGTTTAAATTATTTAAATTATTCAAATCGGGGCTCCTGTAATAGAAGCGAAACGTTGCGATTTTAGTAATTAAATTGAAACTTATTAAACGTTTTAATTATTTAATTTAAAAAAAAACTTAAAAATAAAGAGTTTAAAACTGATTAATAAAATAACTGAGGTTCGTCTCTCGTCGAAGCGGTACTGATTTAAATGATTAAAAACTTTGCTCTGGGAAATTAAATAGTTCAAATTATTTTAATCGGGCTCCGGTAATAGAGGCGAAGCCTTCGCAACTCCCGATGTTTAGTACTCTTTTTCGCATGGCAGCGCAAATGCCGCGCGTCGAGGCAGTGGCAAGGCAGCGCGTAGTTGAGCTTCAAACATAAACGCAACCACTAGCATTCATCAAGGGAAAAGCCGTCCGCCTTAGCTGCGCTTCCGAACAAGAGAGAAGGGCGTGCGCTTGCGCTGCTTGGCTGCGCCCGGCCGCTTCAGGGTGCGAATGAATTGTTGTTGCCCTGCTGGCTTGCGCGCAACAACCATGCGCTTGTGATCCACCTTCCACTTGTTCGCCAGGGGCTCAGCGGCTTTGCGCTGCAGCGCCAGCGGAAGCTGCGCTTTCCGCGGCGCCCTCTGCTCCTGCGCCTGAGAAGCGCAATGATTTGCCCACTCGGCGGCGGATATCGCAAACGAGCAGACCACGCTAGCTGCGACAGTTTGCGAAGACAGCTGGCGCAGAGTGGGGGCGTACATAGCTGAATTATGCATCATTTGCTTGCCGATTACGTTGACGCCGAGCTGGAGCTCTAAAGTCTGCGCGTACAACTCCGGCTGGTTCTTAAACCACTTGTTGATCTCGCTATGCAGCGCTTCGTTTGGGCTCGTGCCCGAACCGAGCAATGGCAGCGCGCGAGCCGGCAGCGAGTGCCGCATGCGCAAATTATTAAAAAGATATTCGCATCGACTGTGCTGCGCGGCATTCGCTATTACATCAGCCAGCTTCCTGCTTGGCGCGGCGGGGGTGCGCCTGTCCACTTCTTCCCAGTGGACGGACGTCAATGCCGCCAATGCCTCGATGAACTCAAGTTTTCTCACGAATGGCTCATTGGCGTCGAGATCTGCAATGATCTTGTGCGCTCGGCGCTTCTGCATGCCGCCGCCGGCTATCAACGACTGCGCGCGGCCCTCGGCGGCAGACAGCGAGCTAGCCTGGTGGCCCGTGTAAGGGGCGCCCCACGCGGCGCCATTTAAATCTGAGCTCACTTTATTGAATTTATTCAAAATGATTCGCAAAACTGCCTGGCCCGGAGAATGTTTCCGCCAGTGCGCCTGATTATACACAATTGCGAGATGAACAGGATCTAGGCACAAAAACTTGAGCTGAGGCATGATTTGCTTGAGCTCTGCAAACAATGTCGCCGACGGATCATCTGATGCCACTGAGACGCACTGCTGGAGAGCTCGCTCGGGCAAGTGATTTCGAAGAGCCGCCTTCACGACGGATGCCGCTTCGCTGGCCACGGGCCACATGCCAATGGCGGCTGACGTGCGACCTTTGGCAGTCAAAATGCGCCTCTTGGCAACGCCGTCTGGAAACGGCGCCGCCGCTCGAATCTCTGCCGGTTCCCTGTAGTTCGCCTGGCCTTTCACGCGCATGGCAGCGCGCAGAGTTGCATCCAACGAAACGTGCTCAAACTCTGTATTATCAACCAACTCGCCCATGAGATTGGTTCGCAATTCCTCTACGAACGGAGACGAGAATACGTCCTCCATCAACGACAACCACTGAACGACCTTTCCTGGTAGAAGGTGCGTGACGCAACTGCCGGCTTCCTTAAAGCGCGTCACAATCCTCGCCCTCATCGGGCGCACTCGACCTTCGTGCAAGATGGATTCGCGGAAGACGAGCTCGGCGAACTCCTTCGTGTAGTACGTGTTTCCCACGCGCCTGTCGAAGCCGACGAAAGAGTAGGATGGCAAAGGGCAGGGCGCGCAATCAGCTCACGCAGCTACTGTCCCCGGCGCCCCGCAACGCCGGGAGGCGCCCGCGCGTCGAAGAACGGGCTCAACGGGCGGAGCCGAAACCAGCTGCGCGAAACAGATGTCGCACCCCCCCCCCCCCTTTCCGCATCCTGCTCTTTCTTCCAGCCCGAGCCTGGCTTGGAGCGCGCCATCTCTCGCGAGAACCTCGAAGTTGACAAACCGGGGCCCGTCGTGGTCAAGGAGCAGCCGAATCTGCTTGTCAACACCAAGACACCGCAACGGCGGGCTCACCGACCGCCGCATGAGATCGGCACTGCGCTGCAGCAAGTTCTTCGGTTGATGCTTTGATAACATGTCGTCGTCAAACAACGCCTGGATGACTTTCCACTGCTTAGTGCCTGAAGCAACGTACCGACCTGATCCCATCTTACGATCTCTACCATTCTCGCATTTTCTGTGCAAGCCGTGGTGATTCGCGATATGCGCAAGGAGATCCCTCTTAACGTTTACAGACGAAGTAGAATACTCTTTGAATGGGCAAAGCAAGCACCTTGCAACGCTCCCATTCCCGTCCTTCGTGGCGCCTGTGCGAGAGAGCGACTTCACGATCATCTCGAAGTCAGTAACCTCGTCGCGTAGAAGCTGCAAGAGATTCGCATGCACGCGCGCGCATGAATCGTCATCCAATTCCTCGGCGTGCTCGTCGCCGGCGTTCGCGACGTCAACGGCCCCCTCCTCCTCGACGCCGGCTCCGGCCACCATGCCCATGGCGTCGCGTGCAGCGACGTCATCGCCAAGGGTCGACGAATGCCCGCCGCCGAGAGCGAACGCCGCCTCGACGCCGAAGTCGAGGATAATCCGCAAGCAAGCGTCGAGACAACCTCGAGGTACGTCCCAAGATAACCCTTCTGAGTGTAAGATGCTGCCGCCGTGCTCGAATACTTCGACAGCTGCGCAATGTTCTCTGCCTGCAACTTTTCCGTGAACAAGAAATCGGCCAAGTGTCTCCACCGCCGTCGTCGGCACTGGCCGCAATGAAACGCCAAAGAGATTGGCGCAGTCACTATATCGACGAAGGCCGCTCGCCATAGCTGCTGCGTTCTCGTCCGAATCCACAGTCGCAGCTGCGATGACGCCATCCCAATCGCCAGTGAGCGCCGCAATGCCGAACGGGATGCAGTTGCCGTGCCACGTCAGACGTCGCCGGTCAAAAGGCACGATGCCGCGAATTGAACAACCGAGCTCGCGAAGAGCTGCCGCCCCCCGCTGCGCAGCTGGGCTGGCCGGCGAGGGCGGCGACAGAGAGCGGTCTGAGCTCGGGCTACCTGCGGCGACGCGCGCCGCGAGCGAGCGGCGTCTGCGCGCGCGGCAGACGGCGGCGACATTGTCCTCGATGCCGGCGCCCGCAAATAAATCCAATGCGCCATCCAACGAACTATCTCGATGATCTTCGTCATCTCGATCGGCGGGCTTCATCTGAAATGCCACTACCATGCACCGATCGAGAGCCGCCAACACCGCCTCGTCCAGCGCCCCGGCCGGCAGACTCCAGCGCTCCCTGCCGACGTAGCACTTGTGCGGCCCACGCTGTTTCACGTCGATGCCGACGCAAAGCGGCGCAACGTCTGGCTCGCAGTGCACTCAGAATAGCCCAGGGCAACTTTCCTGTGGCACTTCCACGGGCAACAGCTTCACATTGGCCGCTCTCGCACATGTCCGATACGAGCGCCGAGGCGGCGCCCAGAACAGCGGCGACGAGGCCGCCGAGGCCGCCGCTGCGCTGGGAGGCGTTGCGGCGGCAGCGGCCTTCGTCGACATATCCGACCAGTTGCCCGCGAGCGCAGCCATTGCGCAGAAGATGCCATTGCCGGCAGAGAACAAGAATCCGTTCCTCAGATTTCTTGCAAAAGGATTTGACCTTCTCTGCGTCCGAAACTGCCGTGGCCTGCGCATCGCCGCCCGCCTGGCTCAAAAGGGCGCGCCCCTTGTCGACGCGCAGGCCGTCGAAATGCAAAGATACGTGACTGACTTTCTCTTCCATGACAAAGTCGACCCACTGCTCCAAACAATGATCCTCAACGCCTTGCCACATGTAGCTGGCCAGCGATGCCTCTAACCACTTGTGCTGCGCGGACTCTAGGAGCTTGAACTGCTCCGGGCACAGCCCCACGGCTAGCCAACGCAGGAAACGCGCTGTTCTCACCAGCATCTTGGCGAACTCGTTCTCGGACAATTCCTTCGGCAAAGCGCCGCCGCATATCAGCTTGATCAAGACTTGCTTGCCCTTGAACGGCAACATTTTGAAGACGCCCCTATCAGGAGCCAGAGGAAAGCTCGCCCAAGCTTCTTCGCTCGCCAAAGCACCTGCCCCATGGACCCTCTCCCTCCGCCTCACCCCCTCCCCACAGCGGACTAAAACGCCCCTGGACCTATTTCCCCAAGCCGCGCCAGGCCCAGGAACCGCATCGAGACGAGCGAGGAAGCGCGGACGGCTTTCAGACTCCAACCTGCAGGCGCCCTCTCGATCTGCGCGAACGCGCTGTAGCGCAGCAATCTCGTCCGCGAACAGCTGAGCGTCAATGATCTCCAACTTTTCAATGATCTGCGCCAATAAACAAAAAACGCAGTTCACGAAATCCAAATCGAAAGTGCTCGAAAAAACCACGTGCTGTTATCGTTGGTCCATGGCCTGCGCCGAGAGCTCCTCGTTGACGTACTGCCGAGACGGCCACTCCACTGCGCGCCTGTAGCTCTTGAAGCTGTCAAGCGGGACTGTTTCTTTCCTTCCAGTATGGCGGGTTGGAGACTTCTCAACGCTCGGCTGCTTCGAGGCCAACTTCCTTCTCTTAACCTCGAGGTCGGCCGACCTCTTACTCCGGTCAAGCAGCCGCTGCGACGTCTCTGTCATTGACAAAATCTTCTGTGCCCTCTCATCCAAACTCTCGATCCTCTCGAGGACGCCCTTCGCTGGCCGCCCCCGCGCAGGAGCAATCGCCGATGCGAGCGCGTTAAACGCGCCTGCCAAAGTCTTCTCGTTGGCCAATCTGGATGTACACCGCGCCGCCTCCAGCGCCGATGCGTCGCAATGCTCCGGGTATATCGCATCGCGGCATGGCGGCCGCCGTGAACAAAGAATCGAAGCGTCTCTCTGAGTCTTGACGCGCGGAATCAGACGATCTTCCGCCTTGCCCTTGGAACCGACGTCGATCCACAAGTCGCTGCCTTTCAACGACTCCCATTGTTCTTCTTTGTTACCCTTCAGCCTAGCGCCGGGAGGTGTTGCAGACGCTCGGAACACGCTGTAAGTCAAGTAGTTCAATCCTTTCCGCTGCAGCTCCTTCACCAAATGGTTGTTGAGAAGGACTATCGGCGAACTCGGCAAATGGCCGTCCTGGGACGGCGGGTCAACCAAGCCCTCGGCGACAGCGCTCGCCGCTGATTCCGCAGCGTTGGCCGCCTTGATATGACGAGCGATCCTGACGTATTTCTCGGTTACTCCATGGTCACCGCCGCGCTTCGTGTAGTTCACCAAAATGTCTCTGCACGCCTCGGGCCCGTTCTCCACCTCGAACGCGTACTGAATCTTATGGCCTGCCGCAACTGCGGCCCCGCTAATCATGAAGTCCTTGGCGTCGGGATCGCGCGCGAAGATGCCGTATCTGCTCGGGTCGGTGAGAATAATCTTATCAACGTAGAGCTTGTCAAAGAACCGCGACTGTATCTTGATGATGGCGATGCGGCGCACAATAGACTCCAGGTTGTGCTCGTTGACGTTGTCGAAAGTGAAGAACTGGTTTACCTCCATGCGCTTCCACCCGATGATCCTGTACATCTTCGTCAAGATGGAGTACGGCAGTCTCCGCGCGATGGTGTCGGCCGTGGCGAACTTCTTGAGTAAGTCCTGGCGCAGGCTACTCCTCTGCCCCGAGGGCCGCTCCTGGCCGGTGAAGATGCAGCCGCCGACCAAGAGTTCCACCACCTTCCGCATCTCCTCGTCCTGGAAAAATATATTCGGATCAAAGAACTTGTGGTTCTTATCGCCGTACATCGCGTGCAAGTGCGAAGTGTAGAGGGATAGGCCGACGCCGCCCGGCCCCCAATACACAGTTATTTGATCGATGTTTTGACCGCGCTTGGCCAATGCCTGCGCTGCCTGGCCGAAGACGAACGATTCGGGTATAGACCAAAAAGTTTGCTCATGCACGCGCTGAACGCGCTCCATGGCGGCGCCAAGCACCGGGTCCAGCAGAGGTGTCGGGATGCCGAGATATATGTTGTTCTCTGGTGAACGAGACGACAACAAGCAAACGTTCTCGAAAGCGCTGCGATCGTGCAACACGCAGCAGTCAGCGCACGCGCATCCTGGAACCCGCTGCATGTCAGTTGAACACCACTCAATGAAATAAGGAACCAACTTGTTTCCCAACAAATCATACTGAAGCTTAGTTGACACTTTGGATATGGTCTGAGCCGTTAGCACGAACCAGCTGTCAGCCGAATTGCTCGTGTCCGGTGCAGGGGCTGCAAGGGCGCCCTCTGCATCCTCGCCGTCGCCGCCCGGTTCGCTCTGCCTGCCAGGCGCGGCGCTCCCTGCTTTCGACAAGTTATTGCCTTTGTTGAACATGCAGTTGTCATGGAAAGTCAACATTGCACTCGGCAAGTCGTTGTTGTTCTGCGCCAAGGCCTCCTTGATGGACGAATCGATCGCATTCAGTACGTCCGCGTCCTTGCGCGCGACAGGCGCCTTGAAGGACCTGAACAACCCTTCCAAGGTCAGCATGGCATTGCCAGCGGCAGCTAGCACGGTCGGCGGCATGAGACCGTCGAAGCCCTCGAAATGTCCAAAGGAATGATCGTAAAAATAAGCACGACCTGAGTGCGCCCGCAGCTCGCGCCCGCCCAGAAGCACCCAGAGAAGCTGAACGTGCTGAAGGAGGCTGACATCAGATTGCCTGCTCCCATGCAGCATTAGAGCTGCCATCCCAAGCCTTTTGACATCGTCGTTCCACTCCTCGTGGTTCTTGTTAACGATATCGGCAAGCCTCTCCGTAGCAGCCACCACTCCGTGAAACTGAGGCGGGTCGGCGGCCGACGAGTTCGCGAGCTTCGAGGACTTCTCCGTCACGTCGGACCACATCGACTTGAACGTCTCCCGGGAAGTGGCGGCCCCCGCGATGCGCATCCGCTTCGCCAAGGCCGCGACCATGGCGGCGTCTCGAGGAGCTCCCTCAGATATCTCGGCCGCCATCGTGTCCTCGGCGCCAACCGTCGGGGGGTCGCCCGGTTGCGTTGGCACCTCGAATTCTGCAGCCTGTGTTTCAGGGATCACCGAGTCCTCTATGACCGCCCCCAAATCTCTGGAATACTGCGATAAGTGCGGAGCCCCCCCGCGAGACGCGCCGGCCCTGAGACCGCGCAGACGACGGCCCAGGCAATGGCCATGCGCTCCCTTGTCAGCGATGATGACTTTGAAAATCAACATGTTTGGCGGCGCCGATACCTTGGACGTGGTTTCAAACTTGTACTTATTCTCCCAAATGGTAACGTAGCGATCATGTACGCGAACTCCCGTGCAATGCCCCACTCTCTTGCCAGACTGATGACATAGGTAGGCGCCAGGGAGAGAAAGGTCGCTCACCTTGCGAGAGCTCGGCGTCAGCGGCGGCAACGGCGAAGCGGGCCGCGCGCCCGACAGATTCGAGGGGATCATTTTGCGCGGCCCGACGGGGGGCCGCGACTGGCAGTCCCCCGCGAACCGATCGAGCGCGCCTGCCCGCTCTCCGACGCGCCGACGACGCAAGCCCGCCCAGGCGCCTCCTGCAAACCAACGCCCAGCGCAGCGGCGACGTCCACGTATTTGCGGCCACGCGAAGCGGCGGCAGGGAAGATCTTCGCATATGCTACGGCATCCAGCGCCTTGCCGATCACGTGGCCGATGCCGTGCGCGACGCAGTTGCCCTGGCGCGAAAGCAACGCCAGCTCCGGCTGGAGGTCTGTCTTCACGAAGATGGGGGCATTCAAGCCGCGCATGTACCAAGGCGCCTTGTCCTTCGGATCAGTCGGGCGGCGGCGAGGCTTCGACGAACGCCCGCCAGCGGGTCCTGTCTGCGCCGTCACCACGCCCGACTGCATCCAGTCAAGGACGCCCTCGTTCGTCAGGACACCCTTCGCCACCAAAGATTCCAAGACGTCAATCTCAGGCAAGTCGCTGCGAGGCCATCCGGCCGATGCTGCTTCTGCACGATAGGCGTCGTGGATTGTTTGGCCTGAAATGACGCCCGCCTCGACGAGCGCCAAAACCTCCTCGCTGCTGAGATCCAGCTGCAACGACGACGCCATTGGGATGCTGAGTAACAGCAACGAATCAGTTTGTAAGAGGGCGCCGTGCCCTCGAGTCGGAAATATGAAGGAGGGCGCAGGACCCTCGAGTCGAGATTGGAGATGAGCTCTCCTGGGCTTCGCTTTGAAAGCTGCTCGAGCAATCGGCTGCAACGTCGCTCCTATCAATCGCAGGCAGAAGCTATCGCTCTTTCAGATACATGTACTTCATTCCGAGACACGCAGAATTCAAGATGGGCGATCGGCTCCCTGGGAGCTGGGTTGACAAAGAGAAAGAGTGAGAGAGAAAGAGAGAGAGTCGAGATCGGGGATGGGCTCTCCTGGGCTTCGCTCTGACAACTGTTCAAAGCAATCGGCTGGAACGCCGCCGCGATCAATCGCAGGCAAAAGCTATCGCACTTTCGTAGATAATTCCTCCAAGACACGCCGACATCGAGATGGGCGATCGGACACCCATGGGAGCTCGGTTGGCACAGAGAAAGAGAGAGAGAGAGAGAGAGATAGAGAGACGGACGAGTCGAGATCGGAAATGCGTTCCTCGGGCCTTCGTTCTGACATCTGCTCAATGCTATCGGCTGCAACGTCGCTCTGACCAATCGCGGGCAGAAGCTCCTGGGCTTCGCTCTGATAGCTACTCGAGAGAATTGGCTGCAACGTCGCCCTGATCGATCGCGCGCAGAAGCTATCGCTAGTTCATGAAAATATGGGCTATCGGAAAAGGCTCTTGCCCACTACCAGGTTTCTGACTATCAAAAAGCTGTAGGCGGTGGGGGGCAAAAGCTGGCGTTCCTGGGCATTGCGGGCTGGACCTCTAAATTTATTTCTGGAGTTGGCATTTCTTTCTGTGGCCGCGCAAACTCATCGCCGCGGCCAGATGTCAGGTCTGGAGAACGTTCAGTGAGGCGCACGCAGGCCGAAACGCCCTTGCCCACTGCCAGGTTGATGGCCCTCCGAAAACTG